TGCGAAAAGAGGCCCGTCATCACTGACCTTCCTGCCGATAGAAAGGACGACCCCAAGGTCGGAAAACTGCCCAGCTGCTGCAGAAACGGAACCATCTTGCCCGGCCTCATGGACAAGAGCCAGTCCCAGTCTATCTTTCAACTGCAAGTCTTCAAGCTCCCGCCTGATGACAACAGAACCGCCCTCACTCCACCTCAGAAATGGAAAATCAACGGTGCCCTGAACCCTTCTTACAAATGTGGTCCCCCAATCAGAATCGACCCCACCCAATTCCCCGACCCCAGCGGGCTCCAGGCCACGTCAGCCTCAGTCGCTAGCTGGCAGGTGGTGTGCAACATTACCAAGCCCGCGGTCCCCAGATGCTGCGTCTCGTTCTCAGCCTATTACAGTGACTCTGTGGTGCCATGCAGCACGTGCGCCTGCGGATGCAAAATCACCGAGACAGGCAAATGCAGCCCTAGAGAGCCCGCCATGCTTCTTCCAGCTGAAGCTCTGCTTGTGCCTTTCGCTAACAGAACAGAGAAGGCAAAAGCTTGGGCCAAAATCAAACACTACGACGTTCCCAAAAAGCTGCCGTGCCCTGACAACTGTGGGGTGAGCTTGAATTGGCACATCGACTCGGATTACAGCAATGGATGGACTGCAAGGCTCACTCTCTTCAACTGGGGAAACGACCCTTTCCAAGATTGGTATACTGCCGTGAAGATGAACAAGGCCTACGAAGACTATGAAAACGTCTACTCGTTCAACGGAACCAGGATGGAGAAGGAAGTTAAAAGCACCATTATGTTCACAGGGCTCAAGGGCTTGAATTACTTGATCGGGATTAAGAACGGGACTGACCCGGAAAAGAATCCGATGGTTCCCGGGAAGCAGCAGTCGATGATCTCGTTCAAGAAGAAGCACTTTCACAATATTGATATCAAGGGGGGTGAAGGGTTCCCAACAAGAGTGTTGTTCAATGGAGAAGAGTGTGCAATTCCAAAACGGTTCCCCAAGAACAACGCACAGCATCTCAACTCTAATGCCCTTATGGTCTTATGTATAGCCATCCTTACTTTCTTGTTCATGACAGATCGCTTCCATTGATGATGATCAGCAACGCTAAATTCTATCTGCAGGTAAATTAAGTAATGAATTCTTTTCTATATATGGAAAGAGAGTACTACTCTACTACGTCGCAGTTGTTTATTGGATATGAATAAACGAGGTTCGAAGTGAATTCATACATAAATAAATGAAATGCTGTCGCATCAGTTCATCTGAAATTCGTTACGGGCAAACAATTTTCGAGCGTTTTTCATCTTAAAATTTCTTTTTCTAGGTGATAAGTTTTCGAGTTTGTAGCACCTAGTAGTGAGTAGCTAGCTAGGCAATTGATAAGTTATAATATTTCTGAGAAATCGTTTTATGTGTTTTGTCATCATCAGCTGCAAGAAGATGGATGTCTATGCACTGAGGCTGATAAAGAAATATGTATGAGTGATGCTACCGTGATTTCGAGACCTGTCCATACTCGAACTCGAAGATGAGGAGATTGTAACATGTCAAAAACAAAATGAAAAACAGACGATATGATAATTTGTATAAGATTTTAACTGCAAAGTAGTTATTATATACAAATGAGGATGGATTCGCGTGGCCTTTTTGTTTCCTAACTAGCTTTTTTTTTTTTTTTTTTTTTTTTTCTTCTTCTTCTTCTTCTTTTTGGTGTTTTCGTAGGATGTCTAATATGTTTGTTTCTAGTATATAAGTTCCAAAAACGTTGGAACAGTAACTAGAAAAATGAAGATAACATATTATATACTTATGGCTCAAAACTTTTGTTGGTATTGTGAACTATTTGAGTGACCTATTGGTGCCTTGGTTGTGCCCTTCCCTTAGGAGTAGGGCTGGGCACGGTTCGGTATGGTACATTGGCAAGGTGATCCCGATCTCGGTACCGGAAATTGTAACATGTACGTGATGGTATGGTGGTGGAGTTGTGGTTTTGTGATACCGGATCACACTATTATGAAACGGTACCATTTTTGGTACTAGACAGAAACAACCAATTTGCAAATTTTGCATTCTTTCCAACATATTTCATCAAATATACCTACTCTAATTCATCAATTCAGAAACATTTCAATGCAACAGTTCGTCAATTTGGGGCTTCAAAGATAGAGAGAGATTGACAGTTTGTTGATTTTGGGCTTCAAAGACAGAGACAGAGAGAGACAGAGAGAGATCGAAACAGATCGAGTTGAGAGTTTGAGGCTTCGAGATCGATTGAATCAAGAGTTTGAGGCTTTGATCAAGAGATTGATCGAATTCGAGAGATTGAGTGAGACAGAGATCGAGAGAGTGAGAGAGTGAGATAGAGACAAAGATCCAGATGAGAAGAAGGGCTTGGCCTAGTTGGATCGATCGAGGGAGAGAGAGAGAGAGAGAGTGAGAGAGTGAGACAGAGACAAAGATCCAGATGAGAAGAAGGGCTTGGCCTGGTTGGATCGATCGATCGATCGATCGAGAGAGAGGAGAGTTTGAGAGAGTATGGGTGAGAGATCAAGTCGAGAGTGAAAAATTCGCGTAAAATTCCTTTTTTGTTACTATTCAGTACGATACGGTGGCAAACGGTGTCTAATATACGGTACCGCTCCAGTGTCATACAAGGGTTATACAGTACGGTATGATACTGTATTAAGCCGTTGGCCAAATGAAACGGTATTGGTACGGTTTCGGTATATCTAGTACAGATGCCCAGCTCTACTTAGGATGCTTGAATGTTTACCCACCGCTTACTTAAAGGGTGCTTTCTACTTCTCATTTAGGATGCTTCGGATGCGGTCTACGTCTCCCTTAGGACGCTTTGGCAGTTGCTTACGTCTCCTTTAGGATGCTTTGGCAGGTGGCCTACGTCTCCTTTAGGACGTTTTGGCAGTTGCCTACGTCTCCCTTAAGACGTTTTGGCAGATGCCTATTGTTGCGTTGATTCAGCTGCACCAAAATGGATTCAGTTGCATCTTCAACTTGTGATACTCGCAAGTGCACGAGCCGTTCGGTAGTATAACATATGTAAGTGCGAGGTCGATTCCACAGGGATTGGTGATTGAATAATCCAATTCAGTTTTCCTACACAAAACAGAAGAACAAGAAAGAAAATAAATAAAACAAGAAAGAAAGAAAAGAAAATAACTCAAGTAGATAAGTTCCCAAGTTCAATTAGATTAACGAATTGATTCTAGCTAAAGTATGATTAAGCCATGGTGTTTGGTCATAACCTTGTGTTCCTAATTCTCTAATTTGATCATTTGTTGTCTAACCTAAAATTAAGCATTAGGAACCCATTAAGCATAGAAGAACA